GGGAGCGTGAGTAAGAAAGGAGAAAGGGGGGGCAAAAGCGTCACCTTGGCGAGAAAGGGAGTAATGGGCTCTTTGTCCTTGGAGACAAGGAGCTGCATCCTAAGGTCGCGAATCATGAAGTTGGTGGCACACGTGTCCTCGTCCATCAGGAGCACCTGGGCGCCGACCTGAGGGCGAATGTCAGGGGGTGCGAGGGGGAGGCCGGGAGGAGGAGGGGAGATGGGACAGAGAGAGACACAGGGGGCGGGTTGAGAGACGTTAGTCGAATGGGAGTGATGAAAGATGCGTTAGTCGAATGGGAGTGATGAGAAATGCGTTGGTTGAATGGGAGTGATGAAAGATGCGTTGATTGAATGCGAGTGATGAAAGATGGGAGTGATGAAAGATGCGTTAGTCGAATGGGAATGATGAGAAATGCGTTGATCGAATGGGAGTGATGAGGAAAACGTTGGTTGAATGGGAGTGATGAGAAATGCGTTGATTGAATGGGAGTGATGAGAAATGCGTTGATCAAATCAGTGAGGAAAGGGCGGGGTCAGCATGCGCCGGGGCGACAGGTCGAGGAGGGGCGTAAGAATCCCACAGCTACCTCGAGGGCTTCGATGATGCTGGCAGCCTGGGAGGTGGAGCCCGAGGCGTCCGCGGTGCAAAAGCTGTCGGTGCGCTTCCCGAAGGGCAGGTTGTCGATGAACGGCGTGATGTTCACCTGGGGGGGGGGAGAAGAATGCTGGACGTCAGAACCCTTGGGAAGAAGTACGTGCCGCCTTGGCCTAGGCTGCACTCCATCGATTACTGACGTCGAAACGCGTGGCTTGGCGTGATATTCCATCCTTTCCACCGGCCCCTGTCCTCGACGTCCCCCGCAAGTTCCTTTTTCCCCCCCTCCCTCCCTTCCCCTCTTCCTCCGTCTCTACCTCCGTGACCGCCCGGCCATCTTCGGCCCTCACTTTGACAGCGCTGGGGTCCACGCACACGAATTCCCGCCCGTCCCCGGGGATGTGGTTGTGGATGCCTAACTCCAGTGCTTGCAGGAGCTGGGGTGGGGGTACAGGGGGAGGCGGCGCCAAGTGAGTAAGGAGCAAAAGGTGCGGGGGCTATAGAGATAGAACGGGAAGGAGAAAAAGAGCGACGACCGATAGCTTTGTGCTCGGAAAGGAGGGGAAAGAGAGGGAGGAAAGCGGAGAGGGAAGGCGGGGAGGCCTGACCGTGCTTTTCCCATGGAAGCCCCCGCCGACGATGAGGGTGATGCCCTTGGGTATGCCCATGCCTTTCACCCTCCCCGCATTGGGCAGCGTCACCTCTCGCTCCAGGGTATGGGGCGACTGGAAGGGGAGGGCGGTGGCGGCGTCCATGGGCAGGTCCACGTGGCCGGACTTCCGGGGCAAGAGGGCGCCGTTCCGAATAAAGCCGACGAGGCCCGCCGATGGGAGGAGGGAGCGGAGGACTTCCTGGTCCTCCACGGAGAGGATGTGGGCCCGGAGGTGGGCAGCGTCCAGGGAGGAGAAGAGGAGGGAGCGGGCCACCAGGTCGGGGAGACGTTCTAGAAGGATCTTGGAGCACCAGAGGCCTTCGATGCTTCGGCCGCGCGCCGGCAACGCCACCGTGAAGCGCGCCTCTACCCCTCCACCGCCGCGGACGTCGATGATCACGTTCGTGCGCGCCAGGACGTGCTGACCGGGTGCCTCCATCGTGATCTCCCCGCCCTTCTTCCCTTGCCATCCCCCGCTCTCCACCCGCTGGTCATCCCCCGCCGCCTTGGCCGCGCGCACGAACATGCGGGACAAGTAGTCTGCGAGGGCCACAGCGCGCGTGGGCGTCGAGTAGGACTCGGGCGGGAAATTGGCCACGTCTCCCGCTACCACCACGTGCATCCTGGTGGGGGGGGCGAAGGGGTCCGACTGGGCCCGGTCCACGCTCAGGCGGAATGGCACCCGCCCTCCGAAATCAAAGGGAGCATGCTCCATGTCTCGGTACGCCGGGTACGGCGCCCCGTCGATGCGACGCAGCAAGGCACGCA